GGCCACATTTTTGAAGAAATTATATTAATAAGTAAAATCCCCCACCCTTCACCCCAAATGAAAAGCCTAGACAATTTTCCTCTGTTTGCTTCCAAAAATCTAAGGCAAAGTAATTCCAATCTGTACAGCTTTTCCAGAGTTGAGGGTAGGGGAACACTTCCTAATTCATTTTATAAGGCCAGGAAAACCTTGATACCAAAATTTGACAAAGACAGTATGAAAAATAAAAAAAAAACACAAGCCAGATTTACTCATAAATATATATATGGAAATAGCCTAAATAACAATAGCAAAAATAATCTAGCAAGATAAAATATTATAACTAAGATGGACTTATTCCAGGAATGTAAGATTGGTTTGGAGTTAAAAAAAAATCAATTAATATGATTTACCATTATCTTAAAGGAAAACCCTCAGATAAAATTCAATACCCACTTGTGATAAAACTTCCAGGCACAGGAATAGAAAGAAACTCCCTTAATTGGATAAGGAGCAACAAGCACTCCCTTTAAGAGAAGGGCACCCACTCCTGGAAAGCTTAGCCAGCAAAGCAAGGCATGAAAACACAGAATTTGGAAAAAAGAAACAAAGCTTTCTTCTCAGATGATTTGATTATGTTTGTATATAAATATACTAAGGAATCTAATGATCTATTATTAGAATAAGAGAGTTTAACAGGTTACAGCACACAAAATTTATTTAAAATCAAACTATAGCAAGTCCTATGAGCAAAAAATTGTAAAATTTTACTTAAAAATAATAAAGAAAACATAAATAAATGCTCATCCTATATAATGAGAGGAATATGCTAATTAGCCGTTACACCCTGAAGCGTAATGACCAAGCGCGTCACAGCCAGATCACGGATCAGCAGGAGGGTGGGCCAGCGAGGTATAAGTGGGCTGCGGAGAGCTACAGGAGGGGGCAGGGCAGTCCCCCCCGAGTGCACAAATTTTTGTGCACCGGGCGTCTAGTCCTATATAATAAGAGAGGATGCTAATCATCCGTTATGTTGTAACATCACGACCAATCTACAAGTGGTAAAGAGCTACAGGATGGTGGGGCAGTGGGCGGAGAGCTACAGGAGGGCAGGGCAGTGGGCGGAGAGCTACAGGAGGGTAGCAGCGACCTACTGGCACATGGATTCGGGCGCAGGGCTTACTAGTCTATATATATAAAAGCCTAAGTGACCAGACAACTAGACAATTGGCCAGTAGCTATAATGCGCACTGACCACCAGGGGGCAGACGCTCAATGCAGGAGCTGCCCCCTAGTGGTCAGTGCGCCCCCACAGCAGGAGCACCGCTCAGCTGACAGATGGGCACCAGATGCTGGACTCACCGCTGGCGAGTACAGCTGCAGCAGCGCAAGCCTGAGCAGTGGCGGCAGGCGCAGCGGGGCCAGGATGAGCCGGAGTGGAGCAGTGCCCAGCCTGGGCTCAGGCTCCTCCCTGGCCGCCTGCCGCTTCACACACTACTTCATGCTGTGCGGGATCGATGCAGACAGCAGGCTGAAGCCCAATGAGCTGGTAGTTAAGGCAGGGCTGCAGCAGCACAGAGGTCCACTGATCCCCGCAGGCCAGGCCGAGAGACCCCACCGGTGCACCAGGCCTCTAGTCCTATATAATAAAAGTCTAGCCCTGGCTGGTTTGACTCAGCAGATGGAGCATCGGCCTGCGGACTCAGGGGTCCCGGGTTCGATTCCAGTCAAGGGCATGTGCCTGGGTTGCAGGCACATCCCCAGTAGGGGGCATGCAAGAGGCAGCTGAATCAATGTTTCTCTCTCATCGATGTTTCTAACTCGCTATTCCTCTCCCTCTCCCTTCCTCTCTGTAAAAAGATCAATAAAATATATTTAAAAAAAAAGTCTAATATGCTAAGTGTCTGGTTGTCCAGTCATCCATTCAACCAATCAAAGAGTAATGTGCTAATGATATGCTAAGGCCACTCAACTGCTCACTATAATGTGCACTGACCACCAGGGGGCAGACACTCTGACCGGTAGGTTAGCTTGCTGCTGGGGTTGATCGGGACTGAGCGAGATGGGCCAGACATGCCCTGGAGTCCTCCCGCGGTCCCTCCCCGGCTGGCCAACCTCCCGTGTCCCTCCCCGGCCTCGATCGTGCACCAGTGGAGTCCCTCAGCCTGGCCTGTGCCCTCTCGAAATCCGGGACCCCTTGGGGGATGTCAAAGAGCTGGTTTCGGCCCGATCCCGCAGGCTAGGCTGAGGGACCCCACTGGTGCACGAATTCGTGCACCGGGCCTCTAGTTTATTATAAGAATCAACAGGGTAAAGATATAAGTTCTTCCCAAACTTATCAATGGATTCAAAGCAATTTCATGTCAAACAAGTTATTTCATCTCAAAGCAATTTCATTTCAACAAGTTATTTTCTTTCTCGTTTTTTCTTCTCTTTCTCAGGGTGAAAGGTGTGTATCAAGACAGGAAGACTGGTCACTGAGCAGTGCCAGTTAGGGCCATGTGGGACTAGTACGGGTAAACAAATGGATCAGATAGAGTCAGACACAGCCACACACATCAGGACACGGAAAACATGGTGAGGAGGCCCTGCAGGTCAGACTCGTGCGAAGCAATGGAAAACAAGGCATTCATTTGGGAGGAAAGTGAAATGAGATCAATTCATATCATATCAGAAAGAAAATAGAAAATTTGAGGAAGATTAAAGGCCAGAAATGAAAACTTAAAGTGATATTATATTTTAGTAATCTCTTTAGGATCTAGCTATATCTTAAAAAAAAAAAGGAAAACAATCATTTTCTAAGTGGCCTCAGACTCTTTTGCTAAAAGCAGGGAAATGAACTTGTTTGTTACAGTGGGTCTCACACTGAGTATCAGAATCACCCACACCACCAAACAGTTATTTCAGAGCAAAGAAGCTGGTTGCAGAGAACTGGGTTTAATGGAAAATATCTGTAAATATTCTGTTTTAATAGAGGATCAAAGATGATTTATTCTGAATGGAGACCTATACCCTGAATATATAGAAGGGCAAGGTGCTTCGGAGGCTACCTTGCTTTCAATGACATTGAGTATCACCTGCTAATTAAACTGGGAACTTGCAGCATGTGACCTCCAACCTCTGTAAGAATCCAGCACACCTGAGACTCTATACTACCTTTGTAATTTTCAATCTACCCCAACAATGACAAATTCGATATATGGCTGTAGGATTATTTAACTCTTTCCTAAATCATTAACTAAAAAAATACATATATATTTTATTGATTTCAGAGAGGAAGGGAGAGGGAGAGAGAGATAGAAACATCAATGATGAGAATCATTGATTGGCTGCCTCCTGCATGCCCCCTACTGGGAAATGAGCCTGAAACCTGGGCATGTGCCCTGATGCCCTGACTGGGAATCGAACCGTGACCTCCTGCTTCATGGGTTGACGCTCAACCACTAAACTATACCAGCCAGGCTCATTAACTTCTTTTTTTTTTTTTTAAATATATTTTATTGATTTTTCACAGAGAGGAAGGGAGAGAGATAGAGAGCCAGAAACATCGATGAGAGAGAAACATCGATCAGCTGCCTCCTGCACATCTCCTACAGGGGATGTGCCCGCAACCCAGGTACATGCCCTTGACCGGAATCGAACCTGGGACCTTTCAGTCCACAGGCCGACGCTCTATCCACTGAGCCAAACCGGTTTCGGCGGCTCATTAACTTCTTAATAGGATTGGCCATCTTTACAATTCAAAAGAAATTTCTCCTTGTGAATGGATGCTTTTACCTTTACAGGAAATAGCTTTTGATAAACCCGTTATTCCCTAGACACAAAACTTATGACTGAAGCATGTATTATTTGCAGTTAGACAATTCTTTTTGCTTATGTGCATTTTCTATTTTTATATAATTATTTGGGTATAAACAACAAAAAGAGAATCAGCATATATAATGTAGGAAAAGGTTCTGCTGTGGGAATAAGCACTACACTCACACGTGTGCGGAGCTCTGGCGTGTGGTGCCACGGCTGTGAAGAGGAGGGCCTCACAGGCCCTGCTCTCAGGAGTCCTCCGACCTGGACCTGGCCATTCATGCATTAAGGAAATACTCACTGAGCGTCTACTATGTGGCAGGCTCTGTTCTACATGCAAGAGACATGACAGAGAAGAGGAGGCAGAAACCACGTCTTCACAGAGCTTACATCCTAGTGAGGGGAAATAGCCAACAAACGGAAAACACTGAACATTAGATGGAAGAAATGTATGGACAATGAGGAAAGGGGACAGGGAGTCTGGTGGGGTACGCAAGCAATGGCTGGTTACGGTCTTATAAAGATACACACAACATGGAAAGTGGGACAACAGACCCATGTAGGGCATGACCACAACACAGAAAGGGGACGTTATGGGGAAGAGAAGGCAATGCCAGGGGAAACTTCCTGAAGGTGACCTCTCACTTGAATCTAACGAGGATGAAATGGAATTAACTAGAGATGGGGGGAGGGAGGGTCAAGCATCTGTACCAGATTCCAAACTAACTACCTGTCATATCAGGTCCTAGGGTTACAAAGATAAACAAGTCATGTTCCCATACCACAAGCTACTCAGTTATGTGTGAACGACAGACAAGAAATAAATCACTATAACATGGATTTATTAAGTCTATAAAAAATTCATCTAGGAAAGACAGAGGAGGTGGAACAGACAAGAACAAGGAAGGCACCATCACCAACCTCAAGCACAGCAAGGCCGGATTCATGTCCTAGGAGGAAGGTGGGCAGTGTTTTGAGAGTGCCCACAGGGCCAGGAGGGGGGAGACAGAGTACAAAGGTGGCAGGGGTTGCAGAGGGAGGCCTGAGCCACTCAGGCGAGGGAAATGGAAGCCTAACGGTTCAGATGGACACGCTCTTACCACCCACTGCTCATCTCACTACAAGGCATTCCGATCACGATCACGACCGGGGGCAGCACCACAGCACTGATGGAGAAGAGGGAGGGTCCGTTCTGATCTTACTTCCTGAGGGAAAATGAGGACAGGGTTGCTACTTTAAAGGTAGATATTATTCAACCCATTAGGATGCCACCAGAAAACAAGGGAAATAACAAGTGCTGAAAGGGCATGGAGAAACTGGAACCCTCGTGCACGGGTTTGTAAACAAAAAATGGTTCCGCTGCTGTGAAAAGGAGTTTGGTGGCTCTTCAAAGTTATTACAAGACCCATCAATCCCATTGCTAGGAAGACACTCCAAAGAGCTGAAAACAGGTACTCAAATCCTTGGCTATGAATATTCATAGCAGCTCTATTCATAGTCACAATAATCCAAAAGTGGAAACAACCCAAATGTCCACTGACAGATGACTGGGTAAATAAATTGTGGTATATACATACTATGGAATAGTATTCAGCCATAGAAAGTAATATAAAGTACTGACACATGCTACAACATGGACAAACCCAAAACATGGTACTAAAGTGAAGGAAGCCAGGCACAAAATGTCACATATGTATGGCTCCACTGATCTGAAATATCTAGCACAGGTAAATCCATGGGAACAACACAGATGGTGGTTGCCAGGGGCTGGGAAGGGAACATGGACAGCAACTGACTACTGGCTACAAGGTTTCCTTTGGGGTGATGAAAAATTTTAGAACTATAGAAAACATTTCACAACACCATGAATGTACCAAATGAAATGTTTACTTTAAATGGTTAATTTTATGTTATGTGCATTAAAAAAAAAATACAAGGAACCTGCAGGCCCAGGACGAATCTGCCAGCATAACTTTCCTGCCCGCAGCAGCCAGCCCTGCCAGTCTCTCTGGCCACTTACCCCCTGCTATTAGCCAAGTCACACGCGATGACCCCTGGGGGAACCATGTGTGAAAATAAAAATCACACTTCCTGAATGAGAGCCCTAGAGAGTCTCGAACATGTTGTTTGTGAAAGGTAATTTTCATCATTCAGAAGGTATATTTTGAATAATACTTTACTACATTTTCGTCAGTAATAGAAATCATATACTCCTACTTCAATTAAACCTATGTAATAAAGAAAAGTACATACACTATTTTTTTTTTTTTACAGATTTCTATTTGTCAGTAAATTTAAGTCAGTCAAAGTAAAATTTACCAATATGCCGGGGTTCTTGTTCCAGCATTAAGAAGGGTTGAGGAAATCTGGAGAAGGGGCTGTGTGTAGATTAAATAGTCCAGAGACAAAATATAATTTTGAAAGGCATTTGGGGGTCAGAGGAACCTAGTTTAAAGGAAACTAAGATCTCCTCATCTCAGGACCCCATGTTTTTTATTAACACAAATTGTCCTGAGGCGAGGCAGAGACATACACTTCAAAGGGTCAGGGTTTCCTATACAGAGTCCACTGTCAGATTGGGGAGAATTAGCCTACGGCTGTTCAGGTGTTTGGCCAGTAGGAGGCAATAACATGTAGATTAAGATGCCCCGAGCTGTCTGGCAGCAAACAAACAATTTAATGTATCCTATTCAGGTTTGGGGAAATGCCATCAGCCATTCCCAGATTCAGCCCTGCTGTCATGCTGGAATTGGCTTCCGGCACCAATAGACTAAATTTCAGATGCTGTAAAGGAAATAATGACAATATCCCTGTGCCTGTCACTATGTCACCTTGATAAGCAAGCACAAATTCTACATGAAGTTCACAAAAAGTCAAGCAACCATGGAGCATAACTAACATAAATAACAGCTAAAAATATGTTTAAGGAAAACTTGGCCTCTGTTCATTTTGTGTGTGTGTGCGTATGTATGCACATGTGCGGTAAGCGAGTCATCATAAAATAGAAGTCTAGGATAATGGAGATCCAGAAGGAGAATCACTTTAAAAGTTCCACGTTCCTACAAAAGCAGGAAGTGTAACCAAAGTGATGCTATGGATTGTCTGCAAGATGGATGACTATTACTATCTGCTAACACTTTCCACCGCTGTTCTACTGCACACTCCTCAGTAATGGGATGCTTCTAATGTTGGTGTAAGCTCCCTGTGGGCAACTGCCCCATCAGTGAGCCTGACATGTCCTATGAGCGGTTAATGCTTGCTGAATTATTTAAGTCTAGCTGGATGTGAGGTACTATTAAAACAGATTTTTATTAACTTTACTAGAAGCCCAGTGCACAAAATTTGTGCACGGGTAGGGTCCCTAGGCCTGGCCGGCAATCAGGGCCAATTGGGGCCTTCTGGCTGCTGGCCAGGGCCTCCCTTCCCCAGCTGCCGGCTGGGGCCTTCCTTCATTCCGTGCCACCCCCTGGTGGTCAGCTCACATCATAGCAAGCAACAGAACTCTTGGTCTCCCGGTCGAACTCCCGTGGGGACACTTTGCATATTAGCCTTTTATAGAGAGATTCTCAACTGTAGAAAAAATGAATATTGTGACCAAGTCTTTTTCAAATCACTTAAACATGCCCCATAAAGGGAGTATTTCGAGGACCAAGAAAAGCACAGAAAGTCCTTATTCTAAAATTTCTAACATCTTAAGAACATTTTCGTTGGTAAAAATTTTTTTACCAAACATTTACTCTGCTGGGTCGTTCTTCTGCCCCCTCTCAACTAGTCAAATGCTCCTTCCTCATGTTTACCTTTAGGATATGAGCCAGTTAAATGGTGGCTGTTTCCTGCCTTCTTCAGAAACACAAACAAGTTCCTGAAAAGCTGCAATAAAACTCCTAATCCTCTGATTTTCCCTGGTGTCAGGGTTCCTAGCTTGCACTATGACCCTTTGCTACCAATCCTGCTTGTACTGTTTATTGGTTGGATGAACTCTCTACTCCCAGATGTCCCAACTGCATTTCCTGATTTCATTTTCCTAACACTACAGGGTCACCCCTAATTGCCTTTGTCCCTAACCCTGCTTAGAGTACATTCTTCTACCTGGAAGCTGACTTATCTGTATCCATTATCTCTATCTTTAGCCTCTTCACTCTCCCATTCCTCTGCCTTCCACCTACCAGTGCTCTGAAATGCAACACCCCTTTCTCCTTGGGAACTGATTCCTGAATCATCAGTCCTTTCTTTACCACTCCTCTCCCACTCTCACCTTCCCTTTATTTAATACTAGGGACCCAGTGCACAAATTCATGCACCTTGAAAGGAACTGTGAGCCGCAAGGCTGAGATGGGCACAGGGGCGGGTCTTGACCCATCCTCCGTGCCCCCGCCTGGCCTCTCCCGCCGCGGCCCCTGGTCCCGTCTGGCAGCAGATCTGCTCCCACCACTGCCACTCCCATGTGCTGACAGCGCTGGCCCCGCTTGCACCTGCTGACAGCGTGGAGCAATTGGGACTGGCGCCAGCAGAGGGTGCGAGCGGCGGCTGCTGGCCCCAATTGCCCCTCAGGAGCAGGGGGAGGTGGAGAACCCCTGAAGGACAATTGGGGCTGGCAACTGCCACTCAGACCTGCTGACGGCACCAAGCGATCGGGGCCGGTGTTGGGTGCCAGGCACCGGCAGCAGGTGCGAGCGGTGGCTCCAGCGCCAGCAGTGGGTGCGAGCAGGGCTGATGCCGGCAGCAGGTGTGAGCACCAGGTGGGACCGCGGCACGTGGGAGCAAAGAATTTTCAGTAACCATCAGAGGCTCACCCCGATGACAGTGACTGGCACCCCGCCTTGGTCTGGCGTCCCCACTCACCTGCTCCACCATCCCACCACGGCCGACACCCACCATGATCCACGCGCGTCCCCTGGTGGTCAGGGCACATCACAGCGATTGGTTGTTCGGTTGTTCCGCCGTTCGGTCTATTTGCATATTAGCCTTTTATTATATAGGATTTTATCCTCCACTTCCTAATGCTAATACTAATAAGTGCTATGACTAAGCATTGACTGAGCACCTACTCGCTTACATGAACACGTCAATTCTATGCAATGGATCATTATTATTTATTTCTCTCTTACAACTATGAAAACTGTGGCACAGGAAGAAATAATCTGCCCAAAGTACACAGCTGCCAAGTGAAAGAACCAGGCTCAGAACTTAAGTGGTTTGGTGTGTGAAAAATTCTAGAACTATATAAAACATAGTTCTCAGCCACTATGCTATGCAGCCTCCCTTATAAGAGTCACCTGAGTTTGTCATGCCCCTCCCTCCACCACTTACTTCTCTATCCACAGCAATTTCTTTCCCTACCACTTACCTAACCCTTTCAAAGGTCCCCATAACTACTAACTCTAAACCCCACCAGTCACATTTTAAGCTTCTGTGCCCTGACTTCTCTGCAGACCTGAATACCCTGAATACTAAGGCCATGAACTCACTGCTGGCTTCACCCTGATCTCTGTGGTACCCTTTCTTGGTCTACCTCAGCACTGTCCAATGGAAATTTCTGTGATGATGGAATGTTTTATGGAGGTGCTAACCAATATGGAAGCCACTAACCACAGGTGGCTACTGAGCATTAGCAGTTTGGTGGGTGTGACTGAATTTTGTGGCCTCCTACTGGTCATTGCAGGCACTGCAGGGCTCCTGTGCTGGGCCCTGCAACCTTGCAGAAGAGCTCTGTCCTTGGTGCTTACTCTGCTCTTCCCAGCAGCCTACCTCCACAGAAGACCACCACAACCTCCGACACAGCCCAGACGTCTTTCCTCGGGAACACCTCTACCTCCAATTGATCATTTCTTCACCTGCAAGCACCACTTCCTTGGCGAATCTCCTCCCACTCAGGCAATCCCTACTCAGAGAACAGACTGCAGGCGCTACCTCCTGCCTGGTCCAGAGGAAAAGGCAGGGATTCATTTTACATCACTCCCTTTCCTCTTTCTTTCCTCCCCCTCCCCCTCAGTCACCCCTCCATGCTCTTTAAACATGTCCTCTAGCTTCCACTGCCACGGTTCTAAGCCAGGATCTATACAGTGGACCTGAGAGATTAATGAAGTCCAGTATTTGTATGTCAAGCAAGAGGTAAAGTATAACATGGTTGGAAAATTCTTTTATACTTTTCAGAAAAATATCACAGAAAAAGCTGCCAAAGCTGCCATCTTAAGTGGGGGGGGGGGGGGGGGGAGTACAGACAATCTCACTCTGTGTGTAAGGTGGCCTTTAAAAATGAAGTGGGTACTATCTTAAAAATTCTAAATGTGTGCTTGGGTTATCTCTTGGTGAAAGGATCAAATGCTCACTCATTCATTTATCAAAAGTATATCAATGCAAATGCCACCCAGTATTCTCATATATTTAATAATTATAGCTTCTGCCCCCGAACACCTAAAAAAAATCCCACATACACCAATGGGCAGGCAGGCAGTGCTGAGAATCTCGGAGAGGCCACACCCCGTGCTGACATCTGCCAGCCCACCAGGAACAGAGTAACCTGTGGTCCCCTATGCTCCCAGGGCTCTCCCCACAAGTGCTCCATGAGCTCTGGAACCACCCACTGTTTAACTTCACTCAGAGGAACTCCAAGAAAACTCTGTGTTGGTATTTCACCCCTCAGGCTTATCAGAGCACTTTGGCCAGCACAGAATGTAGTCCACACAGTAGTATGCAATAAACGTAGAAATCAGGATCATAATAAAAGCAAGAGAACATTAGAAATAGTCCTTGGATAGACACAAGTTCGGAGGGAAAACAGTCCTTCTGAGCCTGAAATCTCCACTGCTCCACTGCTGTGATGAGAGCTTCAGTGAAGTTCCTCAGCGAATTTCTGAGGCATCTCCTGAAAACGTAGCGATTCTATCTGGAAATGTCCTACAAGGAGGGCTGGGTGGAGACCTCAGGTCCTTGGTTCCCAGGAAGAAAAGCAGGAGTGCTCACAGGCGCCCTGGGCTTTCATGATCCTTCTCTCACCTGGAGAAAATGATGTCTGACACCAGCACTAATAAATTCCACAGACAGCACATCACTGGCTGCTAGGAACTTCTGGCAATAATAATTTTGGAATGTATGACATAAATATATATTAGGTTGACTTAATAAATTTCTTTGGTCATTTCAGTTGCCAGAAGGATCCTAATGTTATCCTGGGGGAAAACCATCTGAATGAAAAGTGCCCAGGGATGGGATAGGAGAGCCTCACTCTATCCATCATGATTCAGGTGAACAAAGGCTTACATTTCATTCACCACAAAGTTAATGAATCAAAAGGTGAGTCAGTTATTTTAAAACTAGAGGCCTGGTGCACGAAATTCATGCACTCAGGGGGTTCCCTCAGTCTGGCCTGCGCCCTCTTGCAGTCTGGGAGCCCTTGGGGGATGTCTGACTGATGGCATTTGGCCCCCTACTGGGGATGTGCCCGCAACCAAGGTGCATGCCCTTGACCGGAATGGAACCTGGGACCCTTGAGTCTGCAGGCTGATGCTCTATCCACTGAGCCAAACCGGTTAGGGCTAAATCTGCAGTTTTAGAGAGAACCTGCTACTTACAGCAGTGCAGGGCTGAAATGCGGGGTTAACCACAGGTGGTTTTAAGAGATTTATTAATCCAAAATATCTAGGCATTTTAATATATTTAATACTAGAGGCCCGGTGCACAAAAATTTGTGCACTGGGGAGGGGGGGGCGGGCGCGTCCCTCAGCCCAGCCTGTGCCCTCTCGCAGTCTGGGACCCCTCGGGGGATGACCACTTGCTGGCTTAGGCCTGCTCCCCGGGGGATTGGGCCTAAGATGGCAATCAGACATCCCTCTGGCAGTCCGGCAGCCCTCAGGGGATGTCCACTTGCCAGCGGGGAGCAGACCTAAACTGCAGTCAGACATCCTTAGCGCTGCTGAGGAGGCAGGAGAGGCTCCCACCACCACCGCTGTACTGGCAGCCATCAACCTGGCTTGTGGCTGAGCAGAGCTTCCCATGTGAGAGCGTCCTGACCACCAGAGGGCAGCTCCTGCATTGAGCGCCTGCCCCCTGGTGGTCAGTGTGTGTCATAGTGACCAGTCATTCCCAGTCTTTCTGCTGTTAGGGTCAGTTTGCATATTACCCTTTTACTATATAGGATAGAGGCCTGGGGCATGGGTGGGGACCGGCTAGTTTGCCCTGAAGGGTGTCCCGGATCAGGGTGGGGGTCCCGCTTGGGTACCTGGCCAGCCTGGATGAGGGGCTGATGGCTGTTTGCATCTGGTCGCACCCCCTTCAGGGTGGGGGTCCCCACTGGGGTGCCTGGCCAGTCTGGGTGAGGGGCTGAGGGCCGTTTTCAGGCTGGTGGACGACTGAAGCCCCCAACGTCTCCTTTTTTTCTTTCTTTTTTTTTATTCTGGGATTTATTTACCTTCTATGGCTGTCACTGGAGCTGAGAGCCGGCTCCCGCTCTGAGGCCCGGCTCCAGCTTGAGGCTTACGCTGCTGAAAGCCGGTATCTGGGGTTTGTTTGGCTTCTATAATTGAAACATTTGCTTTCGGAGCTGTTGCTTTCGGAGCTCAGAGCCGGGCTGCAGCAGGCGGGGAACCTTGGCTTCCTCCATCACTGGAGCAAGCAAGCCTCCTGTTTGCTTCAGCTGCGTCGCTGCCGGCCGCCATCTTGGTTGGCAGTTAATTTGCTTATCGCCCTGATTAGCCAATGGGAAGCGTATCGGAGGTACGGTTAATTACCCTATTTGTCTTTTATTAGATAGGATAAGTTTTAATATTTCAAAACAATTAAATATCAAGAAAAGTAACATTTTATATTTAAAATGTAATGTCATTTTTACCTTCATTAATAATAATAATCCTATGTAATAAAAGGCCAACATGCAAATTGACCAAATGGTAGAATGACTGGTCACTATGATGCACACTGACCACTAGGGGGCAGACGCTCAACACAGAAGCTGCCCCCTGATGGCCAGTGCACTTCCAATGGGGGAGCGCCACTAAGCCAAAGCTGGCTCACAGCTGGCGAGGGCAGCGGTAGTGGCGGGAGCCTTTCCTGCCTCCGCAGCAGCACTAAGGATGTCCTACTGCCTGCTTAGGCCTGCAGGCAGTCAGACATCCCCAGAGGGCTCCTGGACTGTGAGAGGGCGCAGGCCGGGCTGAGGGATTCTCCCCCCACCCCACCCCCCGCCAGTGCATGAATTTCATGCATCGGGCCTCTAGTAATAATAATAAGCCAATGGTAAGTTTTCAAAAATAATACTAGTAAGTCGATGGTAGTGTAATGGCCACCCTGAGGAGGACTGGGATGGTCTCATTCTGAGGGTGAGTGAATGATACCGGGGAGGATGTCACAGGACCTCGTGGGAAACCTGGAGGACCTGGAGACCATCAGGGTGGGTTTCTTCCTCCCACCTGAGCTTTCACTGACTTATTTCTTCATGCTGAACATACATTACCCACCACTGAGTTAAAATCGCATCCAGCTGCCAAGGGTCGGTTTGCCCTCCACTACCCTCCAGAGCCTTCCCTAAACCTCCCAGCTAGAAACCACTTCTCCCTGCACTGAACTCATGCATACTTCTTAGGAATCTTCTAGTACATTTTCATAAACATGTTTTCCATAAGATAAATTTCTTATGGGGGAGTGACTCTGCCACACATTTCATGTGAAAACAGAGAGAGGGATTCATGAGCCAGTTTCAGTAGGTGCTCCAACTAGAATTTGCAGTTTTATTTTATTGCAGAGAAACCATAAGCAGATGCAATCCTGCCTTTATTTCCTGGCTGGCTTTGTGCCTCAATTTCCGATTTCTTGTAACAATAATAATACCTAGCTTGCAGGGCTGGCATTAACTCAAACTGGTCCTAGCTGGTCTGGCTCAGTGGATAGAGCCTCGGCCTGCGGACTAAAGGGCCCCGGGTTCGATTCTGGTCAAGGGCACGTACCTCAGTTGCAGGCTCGATCCCTGGCCCTGGTGTGGAACATGTGGGAGACAACCAATTGATGTCTCTCTCTTACACTGATGTTTCTCTATGTCTCTCTCCCTCCCTTCCACTCTCTCAAAAAAACAATGGAAAAATATCCTTGGATGAGGATTAACAAAACAAAAAGAATTCAAACTGCAGTCAGATAATGCACACAGTGCCCCGGAGCAGGAGTCCTATTCCTGTTAAAGGTGTTCAGGGCACAGTAGGTCCTGACATGGCTGTTACCGTGCTGGGGTCCCCCCGGATCTGGCGCAGTGCAGGGCGCAGTGCCTGCCTCCAGTGCTCTTGTCATTCTGCAAGTTTCTCTTCCCTTGGAACATGCCTCCTCTGCGCAGATGTTCTGCAGGCACTGTGCCCTGCTCTCTTCCCGAGTATCTGAATGGGACCCACTGCCCTGTTTCTCTGTAACCAAGCCCCACACCTAGGCTGGGTGCCAACCCACCTGCACTGCTAGATACCAGTGCTACAAGATAATGAAAGATGGGGCCCAACTGGGACAGATAAATGACAGAGAGGAGGCCACTGCCAACAGTTCAGACAGTCGAATGCGGCCCTTCTGCTCTCAGGAGTGCACAGCAGTCTGCACAGCTGGCCTCAGGGAGTCACTGGAGAGATATGCTAACACATCAGGGAGCCCACTGAGCCCAGGGAGCTCAGTGTCACCTGGAGGGGCAGGTATACTTCAGAGACTGGAAGATTAACAAGGACCCTCAGGTTCAGGACAGTTTAAAATGAAAGCTGTGTAGGGAGGACGCTGCCATATTGGTTCAACTCATCAGCTTCAAGTGAAAAGGCTGTGTAGTCAGTGGGGGTGGGAAACAGTTCCCAAGAGTGACTCTCATTCTTACTGTCTCCCAGAGTGAGGCACTTTTATTTTATTATTTTTTAATATTTTTATTTACTTCAGAGAGGAAGTGAGAGGGAGAGAGAGATAGAAAGATCAATTATGAGAAAGAATTATGAGAAAGAATCATTGACCGGCTGCCTCCTGCATGCCCCCAGTGGGGATCAAGCCTGCAACCTGGGCATGTGCCCTTGACCAGAATCAAACCCAGAACCCTTTAGTCCACAGGCCGACGCTCTATCCACTGAGCCAAACCGGCTAGGGCAGTGAGGTACTTTTAAACAGCGGGTCACAGAGGCAAGTCCTTGCTAGTGAAAAATCTGGCTCACTCAGAAACTGGCACTTTCTGTGCTTCCCAGCCCGTAATTCCCTATGTGGTTGAGGACTGTAATTTGTGCCTTGACCAAAAACTGGGGCAATCCCCTGTACTATCACCAGCAGATAGACACAGTCAGATGTCTTCTGAGCCACGCAGAGTTAAATGTGGGCTGTGGAAACCATCTGCCCTGGATGGATAGCTTTCCTCTCTGGGGCCTCAGTATTCTCATTTATAAAGTCACTAGAGGCCCAGTGCACGAATTCGTGCACGGGTGGGGTCCGGCCGGCCGGCCCGATCAGGGCCAATCG